TAGGCTTTCGAGCCTATACAGCTTGGAGTAAGACAACATGCATGAAGAGGATGATGTGGACAAAATACTCATTTGCCTAATAATTCTGCACTCCCTGTATTTTTTAGCCTTTTCATAAAGTGTTATGTAATATGGGCCTTTGTGCTGTTAGTATCTTGGGTATGAAACATGTGCAAACTCATGTAATTAGAATTTATAAGCCCAAAACAGAGTTTGTACAGTTTTAATTCTACAATTATACTTTAACACAGTCTGTCTCTTGGGCTTTCTCATAATTTAATTAAGTAATCTTCAAAAATAGTTCTCCAGGGCTCTTGAAGAACATTTAAAAGCTTTGGATTGTGGCTGCTTTTTGTTCTGTTCTCTGTCAAGATTGTCTCACACTACTTCAGTGTTGAGGTCTGGCTATGGGGAGGCCAGTCACTGACTGATAGTGCTCCATTGTGTGTTTTTCCATACAGGTTAATGCACTGGCAGTGTGTTTGGGATTATTGTCATGCTTAAAAATGAAGCTGTTTCTTGTCAGGTGCCTTCCAGATCGTATTGTACGGCTGATGAAAATATGATCGTGCATTTCGATGTTCATAATTCCATCAAGATTGATAAGATCCCCAACACCACTGGCTAAAATACAGCCCCGAGACATTGCAGAGCCTATGCTATTTTTTAAGGATGTACCGTAGACACTCACTGTTGTACCTCTCTCCTGACTTCCTCTGTACATATTGACAACAATTTGAACTATAAATTTCACATTTGGATTCATCACTCCACAAGACCTGTTGGCACTGATTTTCATTCCAGTTCTTGTGTAGTTTAGCATATGTTTTCTCCCTGTTTCCCTTCCTTGAGAATGCCTCTTGACAGCCACCCTGAGACCACTGAGACCATTCCTGGTGAGGATTCGGTGAACAGTAGATTGAAAAGCTGAAGGTTCAGATGGATCTCCAAAGGCAGGATTGTCACCCCCTCCCCTCCCCTGCCAATTTCTTAAGTACATGACTTTCAGATACTGTAGACAGTGCCACTTGAAAGTTTCCTTGAAACATTTTATGGACACACCGCACAATATGCTGACATATGCCAGATGACTAATAGCTCTTTGGGAATCACGTTGTTAGTGGAAAAATGCAATTTTATGTCTATCAGACTGTTTTTGGCATTTTTGTAGATTCAAACTAAAGAAATGGAAACAGTTTATGTGCTCTGTGACAGGCTGCTAGTAACAAAGTGCCTAAAGATATTATTTTAAATTGATTCTTTGCCAAGTTTTCTGTTATGTGTAGACATAACATTGTCTTCCTTGAGTTAGGTGTCTTTTTATGCTTCAGTGATTTGTAGTTTGTGTTAAGTGGCTTAACAAACAAAACCAGAAAGCCAGCATAACGATTGCTCAAGATCACTTAATAAAATTGCCAGAAAGTCTCGCTTCTTGGAAGCAAAATATAAAGAAATTAGAGCTCGATCAAGATTATAACTGGATAACATTATCTGACATTTTCTATATCTGATGACATTATGTATATGTCACGTACTTCTGACAGTATCATATAAGATTAAAAAAAACAAAACACTTTATTTTTATATTTTTTAATATTTATACTATTTGTAATCATTTATGCAATCACTTATTAAAGCCTTGAGTTTATTATTGCAGCTCTTTATGTGAAGAGCAGAAACGCACTATAGGAGAAACAGTGCGTCTATCCTCTTAAATACATCTGTTGTTAAACATTTTTTTTTACTATGTAAATGTTTCAAACGTACCTTCAAACAAAAGTCCAGACAGTCAGACATAATGACGTCAGTCCTGTCTGGCTCGCGCTAAGGGTGGGGGGGTGTTGGAGTCGCGCGGGTACGCGAGAGAGGAAGGAGGAAAAAAAAACTCAACCATCATCAACTCGCTGGCGGAGCGGGGTCACGAACTATGACCTTTAACAGAAGAAAACCAAAACAAATATTTTATAAAATAGCAGAGCGCACTAAATCTGTGACCGCCAGTTCCCGGAGGTAAGTCTGAGTCCTGGACTGAAAACAGTAGAAAGCTGTGAGACATACAGGACCATAAAAGAGCGTAGCTAATTTCCTGACTAGCTAGCAAGCTAGCCGATGCGGAGCTCCCTTCCTGGCCGTCTCCGGCAGCTCGAAGTGCGGGCATGGACCGTGAAACATCGGTCTCAGTCCGTTTAGGCTGACATATTTTGGTGACAGCTAAATTAATTGTTAAATACGATGACACAGCTGTCGACTTGAACCAATCCCTGCGTGCTAGGATGACAGCCACAGTGGGGCACACAGCTGCAGTCGGCTCTCACTGCAGCCTACTTGCGTTCACTTGCAGTGAGCTAGCTGAGGGGGCTAACGCTGGAAAGCTGTAGCTGCAGCAGATGAACTCGACCCTTTTACCTTTGCCATCCCGGGGACGGGAGTGGATTGAAAGTACTATGATCATACATTTTATTCATCACAGCTGCCATTTTTTTTGTATTTGCCACCAGAATATCTGTTCGGTGTCTGAAAACAAAATTGCTCGAACATATTTATCATAAGGATTCGTCTTCGATGTTACTGGCTGATTGCCAGATTCTCCATTTTGTTATGTGTTGTGATACGTTTGAGAAAAGAGGTAATGATGGACGTACTGTTAGACCAATCAGTAAACAATATGAAGCTACATAAGATTCCTGTATGGTTACTGCAGCCACATAAATCATTTCCCCCCAAAGGCTGTCAGATTGTATTCTTATAAACAGTACAAGACCATATAAACAAGACCATACTTTCAAATGCCAGTAGATTAGAAAGAATTAAACTAATGAAAGGTGGATTTAGACACTTCCCCCAAGAATAAAGATGCTGCAAGGTGGTGATCACAGCTTTAAAAAAAATCATTCTAATTTCTAGATCTTGTAGTGCAGCTTGACTTTTTCTTTCTTTCTTTCTTTCTTTCTTTTTTAACATACTAGCAGTTATGTTACACTGACAGCGAATCTAGGGTAGTTCAAAGTGGTGCAAACAGCCACAAAAAGCATACGCCAGAAAAATGTCATCATAGCCCTCAGTCACTTTATGAACAGTGTGTGTTTCAACATTTTGTGAGATTCAATTAATCTTGTATTTACTGTTACCTTCTGGCAGAAGTTTAAAGGATTTAAAAATTAATTTGTGCTCTGTTCAGTTAATGCTCGGAATATTAGTCTGTAGTGTGGAGTCATTGGGTTAGTGCAACATTAACAATTAATGTTGATGTGATGCTAAATTGTGACTTGTTGTGCTTTGTATGTTTGTGGTGGTCACAATAGCTATGCTGGGAACTGGGACTTGGAGTCCAGAACAAATTTCCTCTTCAGTGACAATAAAATATAAAGTAAAGCAAATTAGAAGTTTTAAAAATATTAAAAGCAGTGGGAGTTAGTCTCGACACCTTCATATTTACTATGTTTTTTAAGTCTTGACAGGATTTCATATTTGTCCATTTGGAGGACAGGTGTACAAAGTAAGAAATGATTGGTGCCTCTGTCGATGTCAGTGTGGTATTAGTATCTCCAAAAAGTGTTTCACCCACTGAAATTACTCTGGCACTGGACTGATGCAACTCAAGATTCATAGGTAGAAATTATTACTGTACATTGACCAATATAGGTGCAGCAGTATAGGAGGATTGACCATATCTGTGATAACATATAATATCTAACACTAACGCAGTGATGGTTCCAAACCCTCTTCAGTTAGCTTCACTTTGAGTGTGATTTTGGTTTTCAAAGGAAACAAAATAGACATTTAACAAAGGTAAAGGTGAGTTTAGCTGATAGCTTAAATATTTTATCTGGAATTTTACATAAATACTGCATTGTCTTAGCAAGTTGTGTTGTGGTCTATAATAACATGTCAGCTATATTACCAAATTAAGTGAAATACTCCTGCTGTGGTGGTTTACTCTCTGTTTGAGAATATGCAGAAGTGCTAAAGTATGGCTCTAAAGTCAGCGTAAAGTCACATGTAGAGGAACACACCAAGCTGTCGATCTTTGAACCATTGTATTGGACAGTTGCTCAGGTCTTATTAAGGATGGGGGAAAAAATGTATAGAGTAGTATTGTGTTATTTTTCAATGCAATCTTATATCAATACAGGGACACTAAATATGAACATAGTATTAAACAAATTAAAATACACTGTTAATACTATGAGCTATAGGGCTCATCTCATGCATCACCATCCCAAGATAACATTACCTGAGCAAACATTTATTTGACTAAAAAAACCATCCAACACTGGATAGACTAACCTTGAAAAAGGTACTTCCTAGTTCAGAGCAAGCCAAAGGCTCAGTCACACAAGTAAAAATAGGACAAGAATATCCTTGCAACTACAAAAAAAATAAATTAAAAATGTATATCCATATATAATTATTTCCACATTCTGCAACCGATTGCAACTTGTGACTAAATGGTTGTCCAGACGTTTAGGGTTATTGCACGTTTACAAGCACTTTTAATCGCACGTTGCTTGGATGTCTTGCCTGATCAGAGATAACCTTTCTGCAAACAGTAATAGTCTGGACTTGGGCTGACTGTAATCACTCTGAAAAAGATTCTTGAAGGTTTGCAAGTAATTGCTGTCTAATTTTAAATGCAAACAGAATGCCAGCATGTTGCCATCAGTCTGAATGGGTCTGTCATTGTGCACAACTCAAAGGGACTTGACTCATCTGGCTGCCAGCTGATTGTATTCTGGTTATTTATGTAGGCTGCAGGCTCCATGTAATGGCAACATTTATGCAGGTTTTGGGGACAGTGTTGGTATGCTTGACAATCTCATTTTGAAGCAAAAAAATAACTGAAGTGAGATAACTTTATCTTACTGGATAAAACAAATACAGACAAAGTTTACCATGAGGACATAATTTGCAATTTTAAAAATGTCACAATATACATTGTTGCAATATTCTCCATATGTTAAAAATCGCAATAAATTCTTCTTGTGATTGAAGTGAAATGTTTTGTTGAAGTTGCCTAAAAAATAAGAATATTACTTTTAATAACTGTGTGATGATACGGCAGTCTATAGCTTAATATATAGGTAACAGGGCAGTAAACAGAAACTGTTTTGTCAATTTTATTTTAGTTTGAAGACTGATTGCCTTTGTTATTGTATAGTATAAAAAGAGAGAAGCTTATCTTTTGTTTAATTTTTAATGATTTTAAAAGTTGGGTTGCAAAGGCATTGCTGCAGCACAGATTTAGTATTTCAAAGTGGCGTAATATTTTAATGTTTATACCACCCATTCATAAGAACACATGAGTGAGACACTGGTGTGCTTCAGTAGCCAAATCGCACCATACAAAATCATCCAATGTCTTGCTGCATCTTCTGTGACCATTATGCGAGTCAGTAATGTCAGCCTGCTCTTCTGGGGTAGTTGGTATTTTTATTAGTTATTTAATTATTTTCTTTGACATCCTTCCAAACAGACCTCACTAATGACTTTACTTCATCATGACGTCCAACCTGAATCTGCTTTCCCAGCAGAAAGTGGATTCTGAGCATGAGGCAGAGGTGAGTGGTCTGAAGTTGTTGCTTCATCCAACCAATATGAATTTTTTTTTCTTTTTTGATGGTTTTACTCACTTTGGTCGTGTGGTTACCTTTAAGATATAATTCACCATTTGCTGTCTTCTTTCACTTACAATAAAAGTGTATAACATTTTGTAGCAAAACATTTCAACGCTGCATATTCAAATGAAATGTATTTGTGTTGCAGACTTATTAATTAAGATTATTTTTATACATTTAACCAATTAGGTGTCATCCTCTCCATCAGACTCAGTGATGAGTGAGTCTCCGCAGCGCTTTCAGGTCATCTCGACTGAGCCCTCTACACCACAGCGAATTCAGGTAACATCTTAAACTTGAATGTGTTACAACCTGTTGACATTGTCCCCTTTCGCAGGGGCGCTGAACATGTTGGTGTTAAAATATTTTTCTTGGATCTTCCACACTTTCCCTGTTGTTCTGTCTTCCTCTTTCATCTCTTATCCCCCCAGATTGTAACCGACCAGCAGACCGGTCAGAAGATCCAGATAGTGACAGCAATGAACCCATCCAGTGCCCCCAAGCAACAGTTCATTCTGACTACAGCTGACAGCTCAGGGGCAGGAAAGGTCATCCTGGCCTCACCAGACAGTCACAACGCCAAACAGCTCATCTTCACTGCTGCAGACAGCCTCATGCCAGGAAGAATACAGGTACATTTCCCTCTTAATACTGTCACATAGGGCATATGTGACAACACTACTGCCAATAGCTTGTTTTTATTTGAATGCTTTTTTTCTAGATTGTTACAGATCCAGTGTCAATGGAACGGTTGTTAGGACAGTCAGGAGATTTGAGCCGACCACAGCCGGTGGAGTACTGTGTGGTGTGCGGAGACAAGGCTTCAGGTACTTCAGCCACTTAACATGAGTATACTTCGGATCTTTTCCATATACTTTGGTATCCAGCTGTGTGTTCAGCTTCATATTGTCAGTAGACTCAACCACGGGTACAAAATAAGAACTTTTTTGTCTGTGTACAGGACGTCACTATGGTGCCGTCAGTTGCGAAGGATGTAAGGGCTTTTTTAAGCGGAGTGTGAGGAAGAATCTGACTTACAGCTGCCGCAGTAAGCAGGACTGCGTCATCAACAAACACCACCGCAATCGCTGCCAATTCTGTCGGTTGAGAAAATGCCTTAAGATGGGGATGAAGACTGAGTGTGAGTGTGCATCCAATTCCAGGACACAGTGCAAAAAATACACCCAGAAACGTGTCAAGTATTGTCCCTGAGAAGGTAGTTTCAGTTTCCTTGAGAAATAAGTGAGATATGGCCCGAAAAAGTCTTCTATCTTTTTCCTGACCTGACATGTATAAAATACAGACTGGTGTGACACTGGATACTGCTGCAGGAGGTTGTTTAGGAAACATTGTCCCTACAGCTACTCAACAAGGGTTATTTTTAGTAAAAATATAGGTTCAGCTCTTTCTTTACCATCAATTTGTCAGGAAGTCCAACTGAGAACTATTCTGATCAGTTAAACCAGAAGTACCTCATATCTGCAGTATTCTGAGAGACACTAAATATCATTAGCATTGTTCTCAGTGCATGATTGTAGAAACGCACAATGTTCTTTGCTTTTACTTGTAGGCATGAGGAAAATATTAACACATTCTGACTCCTGTAAATATTCAGCTGTCCAGAGTGAGAGGAAACCCATCGACATTGTGCCCAGAGAGAGGCATGCCAACTGCGCGGCCTCCACCCAAAAGATCTACATTCGTAAGGACCTAAACAGTCCGCTCATCGCCACACCTACGTTTATCTCCGATACAGAGACAGATGGATCCAGGTCAGACCTGCAGACAAACATTGGGTCTGAGCTGTTAAATTTGCACCATCTTTAAGTTTCCAACGATTTTGTAAAGTTGTTTTGATGGTTCTTTGTACCACATGTAGGTCCAGCTTGCTGGACCAGGGGATGCTGGTTAACATCCAGCAGCCAGTGATCCAGAGTGATGGAACTTTGGTGCTGGCAACTGATTCAAAGGTACATCTAATCATTAAAGAGACTGTGTAACAGTAAACAAAACATCTGCCTTTTGTAAGTCGTGTAAAGAGGTTGGAGCATAAAATCTGTGCTAGGCTGTTATGTATGTACAGTGGGTGCTGGTTATGTTGCCTATATGATGGGATATAATCTGCATTGAGTCACTTGTCTTTAGATGGATTGTGGGCAGGGAGACTTGGGGACGCTAGCCAACGTTGTGACATCACTGGCCAACCTAAGTGACTCACTAAAAGAAAACCTAAACAATGGTGATACCTCAGACAGCCAACATGAAGAGCAGTCTGCAAGCGAGATAACACGGTCAGTCAGCAACACCCAGAGAGGAGTCTTGCCTTTGCTTGTTCAGATTTGGGTTCAGGTGGCTTATCGTTAGTGTTCTCTTCAAATTTACTTTGTTTGTCTCTGCAGAAGTAAACCAGTTCTCTATTTGCATTTGTTTAATACCGCATTGGTAATTTTGTGAGTTATGCGTTGTGGGTTCTAATATCTGCATTATTTTTTAATACTGATAAAACCTGTGTTGTAGACTGTAGATAAGATCTCATTGATGACTTTGCATTGTTTTTGTTCTTATTTGAATGAACATAGTAACTGGATCAAAGGAGCTTGCAAAGAAAAGCGTCGGGACTAGGGCTGGGCCATATTATACCGTTCACGGTAATACCGGTATAATGTTAGGCAACGATAGGAAAATGAAATATCGCGATAGAATATGAGTAAAACGCGCATGCGCAGTGCTTTTGTTTTCATACGCACATGGCCGATTGTTGAGTGAAACAGATGAACCAGAATTGGTTTG